ATGGGAAAAACAAAAAGAAAAACAAGGAACAGGGTTAACCACAAGAATAATAATAATAAAAAAAAAATGCAGCCAGAACAGGGAAAAGAAAAGAAGCTGAAAACTAGAACCTGGGTGGGGAATAATAAAGAATAATGGTAAAAAGGACAAAAGTAATAATAATAGTAGTATTTTTAAAACAGACAAAAACAAACAAACTAAAGACAGAAAAAAGAAAAAAAAATCTGGGCAAGGTGGGTCAGGGCACCCAGGCTCCGTCCAAGCACACAGACTGGGATGGAATTCCTTCCAGTCCAGAAAGTGGGTGGGAGTGAAGGATGGCCGCACCTCCGTTCACCAAGAGGTTGTGGGGTATATGAGTAACAAGGGGAATGCCACACCTTTCCAGTTGTCCGGGTCTGGAATGTCCTTGCGGTTCCCAGCAAGTGGAGCCTGTTCTTAAGTCCCTGGAATCTGGGAGAATGCTGTTGCTTTAAATATCCAAAATGGTCAAGCTGCTTGTAAACATTCAAAATGGCTGCGCCCTCTGGACAGACAAACGTCCACAGCTCAGGCCACCTTCCTCTTCACTACCTCCCCTTTTATTCCCCAGCATCCAGAGCAGTCCTCCATGTCAAGTCCCTGGCTAGCAGGGCTGATTTTTAGGTCCTGCCACTACTCAGCAATACCCAAGCTGTCTGTGCCAGCAGGATCGCTGCCAGACTGTAGCTCTGTATGTCTCATTTTTTGGTGTTTTCATGCAAATTCTTCTGCTAGTTGGAGTTTAGTCCACTTCTGTATCCTTCCCTTCAAAGCTCAGGGGTCCAGGTCATCTTCTGTATCTGTGTTAATTGGTTCCCCTTTTCTTTGTTGAAGAGGGTCTGTGTAGTCTTTCTGTCTATTTGGCCATCTGATGTATTTACTTTTTTAAAGGTGGTAAATGCCATGTACTGTCCAGAACAAGAGAGACCAGTAGCCCCAGTGGATGGTGCTATGCAGTATTGTATTCAGGATTGACCACCATACTGCAAAGGCACGTCTTCCTGTGCACATTCTGGTCTTTCAGCCAGGATGTTGGTGTTGTTAGGTGCCATTGAGTCGGATGTGATTTACAGCAACCCTGTGTACAACAGAATGAAACACTCCCCAGTCCTGTGCCAGCCTCACAATCCTTGCTATACCTCTGCCCATCATTCCCCTTTTTTGATGACCCTCCACTTTACCAAGCATGATGTCCTTCTCCAGGGAATGGTCCCTTCTGACAGCATGACCAAAGTAGGTGAGATGAAGTCTGGCCATTCTCACTTCCAAGGAGCATTCCGGCTGCACTTCTTCCTGGACAGATTTGTTCATTCTTCTGGCAGTCCATGCTACTTTCAGTATTCTCTGCCAGTACCACAACTCAAGAGCATCAACTCTTCTTCAGTCTTCCTTATTCATTGTTCAACTTTCAAATGGATATGAGGCTATTGAAAATACCATGGCTTGGGTTAGGCACACCTTAGTCTGATGGGAGGGATGTAATTCCAAATGAAGAAATTTTGAAAACATTTCATATAAGATGTGGTTGAGTAAAGTGAAGGGTTTTCTCCAAATGAAGAGAAAGCAACAGGTGTACAGCATGGCTGTGTTCACACCTCTAAAGGCCACTGGATAAAAGAGGGTTTGGGCTGGTCCCTTCTATCTCTTAAAAGCAGAACCAAGAGCAGAGAGTCAAAGTTATAAGTAAGCAGACTTGTGGCTCAGGGAAAAGAAGTTGTCCCAACAACTGGAACAGTTTAAAAATAGAATGGATGACTGGGTGGGTGGAGGGAGTGGGGATACGGATACTAGATGACCATTGTGAGGAAAGTAGTAAGAAGGACTCCCAGACAGGGAGGAACTGTGTCCTGTGACCTTCAGAATACTCTCTCCTCAAAGATTGTTACATGAAAAAGAATGGATATCTTAGTTGTCGTGAAAGGCCCTCCCAGGTGTCTCATTGTTGAGTCTAGCTGACAGGCACAATGGTAATCTCTTGATCTCTCCTTAGCATGTGCACTCCAAAATGCTTATGCATATTAGAAACCATAAACCAAACTCACTGCCATCGAGTTGATTCCGACTCATAGCGACCCCCATTGTGTTTCCAAGGCTGTAACTCTTTGGAAGCAGACTACTTCCATCTTTCTTCCACAAAGTGGCTGGTGGGTTTGAACTGCCAACCTTCAGTTAGCAGCCGCATGCCTTAACCACAACGCCACCAGAGCTCCTTTTATTAGACAAACATACCCATGGAGAAAGTATTTTCTACATTTTCTTTAGAGAACTTAGAAGTTTATCTAATTCTTCCTGCCAGTAAGTAACCTACCCTGAAGAAGCACTCTTCCTAATGCTGATGCATCTGACTTTGTCCTTATCCACTTGATTTTCAGTATGCCATGTTTTTGTCCCTGGTGTTCCTGGCTGAACTGGTAGCTGGCATTTCAGGGTTTGTGTTTCGTCATGAGGTGAGTATACACAAATTGGAGAACTTACTCAAATGGTCCTTGGAAGGAGGATTTTTTGAAACCTTTTGAAATGTGGAAAAGGTGCATATTGCTCTCTGGTTTCTCCAGCAGTATTGCTGTTTTCCAAATGCATTATGAGCTGAAATTCCAATAAAAATGTTCAGTGCAGGAATTTTCCCAACTTCAAACCTTAGCTGTTGCTCCTAATTTGTTTAAGTCTTTATAGCTGTTGCACAAAATTATTCTCCACCCAGTTTTAAAGCAGTGACCTTGAATATAGGTCAAATACTCCTTTTGAGAGTTGATTCATCAATGCAAAGAGTTGATTCAGCAATGCAAGGTATGTATCTGTATAACCAGAGATTTCTGAGATGCCAAAGCCATGCCAAATGAATTACCATTTTATGCTTTGTAAATCCATTATTGTTTCCCCTAAACAGCAGTGAAGTCAGAAATATATAAACATGTGTTATCAAAGGGGAAAAAAAATACAAGGTGTAGATGGGAAACACACTGAGGTAGGTATGGCTGTGGCAGTGGAAAGTCTGGCATCATCTATTCCCAGGCATTGCTATTGTGTTTGGACAAGTACAATTCCCAGCAAGCTTACCTTACGTACTTTCTGTACCTTTCCCTGGAGAAAGTATCTCAGGTGCCACCAAAGCTGATTTCCAGAACCCATTTCATATGGATGCCACATATGGAGTTGGTGCCTTCGTGCTTATCCACAGGTGAGGTGAAAACTGCTCAAGTCACAGCCTCGACAGCTCTGTCGGTGCTCCCAGTGTGGTGTGAATTCCAGGAGCAGCCAGGTTTGCTCCCACCTGAGTGCTTGCTCACTTTCCTCTTATGTGCTCCTAGAGCTGTGCTCCATGTAGGAGTTTTTCTCTTAATGGTTTCTCCTTTTGAACCCCCCACCCCCCCAAAAAAAATCACAAAGCCACTGCCATCGAGTCGATTCATAGCAACCCTATAGGACATAGCAGAACTGCCCCATAGGGTTTCCAAGGCTGTAAATCTTTATAGACGCAAGCTGCCTCATCTTTCTCCCACGGAGTGGTTGGTGCATTCGAATCACTGACCTCTAGTTAGTATCCCAGTGCCTTAACCACAGCACCGCCAGCACTCCTTCTGCTCTCTCGGGTGTGAGAATCCTCATCTACCTAACCTCTTTTCATGTGCAACACTTAGGGGTGGGGTGGGTGGAGGTTGTGAAGCTACTCTTTTAGGACCTGTACTGGTCTTAAATTCAGCAAAACGGTTAAGACAGTAGGTCACACTTAGCACCAATTTGCTCAGAAAGATAATAGTAAAGGAAGCACAGCTTGCCTGCAGGGCATCAGGCACAGGCTTATGTCTTCATCAGGATTCCTCACAGTGGTCGAGGGCCTATTCTGTGTATACTTCAGACAACTCAGGTATACCCAAGAGACAACTCAGGTGCAAGGAAATGAGACCACACAGGTAGGTATAGTGGCCACTTTGACTTAAAAGCTTCATGTAACTAGTATCTCTTCATCTCTTGCAACTGTCCCATGAGCATAGTTTCTAGTATCCCAGCAAGGAACATGCCTAGTTATGAGAGTCACCATACTTAGCCCTGAGTGTCCCACCAGGTAATTATTATCATTTGTAGCCCTCCTAGTTCAGAAACATTTCACCCATCAGGGGTCAGTTTTACCATAAGCAGTGTTGCCTAGTAACATACCTGACACTCTACCTTCATCAGGTTTCCAGGGGAACAGAGCTTGAAAGTTAACCCAAGGTCAAATGTATTCATAGAGAAGGAGAAAGGATTTTGTTAACCCTTTATTAACATAAAAAGTCCTTGTCCTTTAGTCTCCTTTTTTTTTTTTTTTCTTTTCTTTTTGGTCTCAATAAAGACGAGTGAAAATTGGTTTTGCCTCATTCCTGTATGGTAGAATAAGGATTAGTTTCTGGTCAAAACATCAGGTCTTCCAACCCCCCAGTGGCCTGTCCTTTATCATTCTTCTGAGTGAGGAGAGAAGTTATAGAAGAAAAATGGGCATCAATCAATTCAAAGAAATAGCTAGAAAACTCAAGCTTGAGGTTTGGCAGCTCGGTATCACAGCCTTTTCAGAAACGAAACACCTCAGTGGGACAGTCAACAAGCCAGGCTTCCATTGATAAGGAGGTAAGATCATTTTTAAAAATTCCTGTGCTAATAAACCCATTGGAGAATTTTCTGAGCTCTTTTGTGTCAGAAAATAGAGCATTGCCTCACTGGCCAACAGTTATTCCAAGACATTCAGAAGAGGCTATTTTGGGGTAGGTACTGGTAGAAATCTGAGTCAGTTGGGCTGCAGTGGACTGGAACCACATTCCTCTTTGTCTTCTGCAGATCAAGGACACCTTCCTGCGGACTTACACTGATGCCATGCAGAATTACAATGGGAACGATGAGCGGAGCCGGGCAGTGGATCATGTGCAGCGCAGTGTAAGTTCTACGGCAGGAGACTGGTATGGGAACAGCCTGTGAGGTCTGGGCTTAGACTTGTCTGCTGGTAATGTTGGGCCAGTGCACTTACTTTTGATCCCTGTTCTCCAACTCTTCATCCAGTTCAATTTCCAAGGGTTGACAGCCAGTACTTGTCCATTCTTGAGTTATCCAGGTAATCAGTGTCAAGAAGGACCACCCCTATAGTGTGCCCTTCATCAGTAAGGATTGGAGCATTCCATGAAATAGAAGTTTCCCCTTAAGTTCTGAACACTTGGAAAGGAGTTAGGCAGTGAGTGTATGATACTCTTTCTTACAACTAGCTCCCAAAGCCTGGCTTTCTGGAAGTAGTGTCTTTGGGCTGGCCAGAGAGCTCTGGTGACCTGTGTTCATTGGCTTAAGCAGTGTAGTATGGGTGGACAGTGGACATAGCAGGGAACTGAGGATCTGTCAGGTATGTGAGTGGCTTAAGTGGCCTGGTGCTTGCAGAGGAAAAGAAGGAAATAGATGTTTCCCCGTGTAGAGGTGCTCATGGTGGCAGGTGCTGGTGCTTAAGCCTGACTGGCCATCAAGATCACCTGGGGAGTTACTGTTTTTACTTTTTACTTTAGAAGCAAAAACCAAAACCAAACTCACTGCCCTCAAGTCGAATCCGACTCATAGGAGCCCCTCCTTGGATTTCCAAGGTAGTATCACTACGGGAATAGATTACCCAGTCTTCCTTCCGAGGAGTGGCTGGTGGGTTTGAACCTCCTGCCTTCTGGTTAGCAGTCAAATGCCTTAGGCACTATGACACCAGAGTTCCCAGTTTAGAAGTAGTGCTTTTTATTTTTATTTTGTTGGTAATTTATTCTGATAACATTTCAAACTGATACGAAGTTTTTCAGGGTTAATATAAGTAACTCCTATATACCTTCTACCCAGATTGACCAATTGATTATATTTTTGCCCCCTTTAATATTCTGTGTATCAGGAATCAGCATACCTTTTCTGTAAAGGACAAAATGGTAAATATTTTAGCCTTTGAAGACCATCTGGTCTCTGTCACCATCATGCAACTCTGCCATTATACCAAGAAAGCATCCATAGACAACAAATAGATGTGGTTGTGTCCCAATAAAACTTTATTGACAAAAACAGGCAATGGATAGGCCATAGTTTGCCAGTACCCACTCCATCAGTCTCTAGGTGCATCTCTTTTTTTCTGAACCATTTATTTACTTATCATCTGTATCCTGTAGGGAGCTTCTTAAAACCACACTTGTCTTGCCTGTCTCATCAACAATCCTGATATTGCTGATCTAGGCATCTATATCTTTTATAGTAGCTAACTCACAGGTGTTTTTGATGCTCGGCCAAGACTGAGAACCGCTGCTCTGTGGAGGTGGTAAGAGAGCCCAGGTGATAAATAATCTAGAACTAAATTCCTTCTTTGAGCTCAAATGGGCATCAGTGTCCATGAGTGAGTATCAGTGTCCATAGAGGGAGCTTCACTTTATCTTCAGTCATCACGTCTGTGTACGTTGCCTTCAGGGTCTGGCCTGGGTTCTCTTTAAAAGTGCAGGGCAATGAGTAAAGAGGCATAGTGTCTTTAATACACAACTCTGATTTTTTCTTTTCTTCCCCTGTTAATAGCTGAGCTGCTGTGGCGTGCAAAACTACACCAACTGGAGCACCAGCCCCTACTTCTCGGAGCATGGCATCCCCCCCAGTTGCTGCATGAACGAAACTGACTGTAATCCCCAGGATCTACACAATCTGACTGTGGCCGCCACCAAAGTTAACCAGAAGGTACCTGCCAGCCCTGATGGGATCAGTGCTGAATGTTTGAGGAGGGCTTTTTTTGTACCTGTAGAATTATGACAAATAGATTAGAGATGATAGTGCAATATGAAGTCAAGAGTCTTCCTTTGTGGTCCTTTATTACCTAGAGAGGCACTTGAGGCTGCCCACTTCTGAAAGAGGATCCTGTGGCTTACGCAGCTTTGCATTCCTGTCCCTCACCAAGAATCTACCAGGCGATTATGATGGTTTAGCAAATGTTTCCTGTTAACCCTGATGCTTATGTCAGACAGGGAATGTTGGCTTTCTTTCTGGGTGTCTTTGTTTTACTTAATATGCCTTCTAAACATAAAATGATTTGCAACTGGATGCCAGCCTTTAGCCAGAAGAGAGGAGGAGAGTTGACATCTGCTTTTGCTAGGAGGGTAGCCTTGATTTTAGGGAGTTCATTGCTGTTCTGGGTACCTAGTGCCCCTCTGACAAGAATATACCACAAATGGGATGGCCTTAACAAGCAGGAGTTTATTCTCTTACAGTTTGGAGGGTTTAGGTCCAAGTTCAAAGTGCCAGGCTCTAGGGACTGGGTGAAAGCCCCTCAGCCTTGGGGTCCAGCTCTGCC